TTTCTTTCTTTCTTTCTTTCCTTCCTTCCTTTCTTCCTTCCTTCCTTCCCTTTCCTTTTCTTTCTCTTTGAAAGAGTTTATTTATAGCTAGGCACATGCCTTTAGTCCCAGTACTCAGGAGGCAGAGGCAAGCGGATCTCTGGATTTGAAGCCAGCCTGGTCTACAAAGAGAGTTTTCCAGAATGGCCAGGGCTACACAGAGAAGCTGTCTCAGGGAAAAAAAAAAAAGTCTATTTAGTCTTTGGTTCCTTGAAACTCACTATGTAGATAAGGTTAACCTCAAATTCAGAGAGATCTGCTTGGCTCTGCCTCATGAGTGTAAAGATCAAAGATGTGTGCCACACAACCAGCCTTTTGTTTTGTCTTGTTTATCTATTGTCCCAGGAGCATCTTATTCTATCTAGAACTGAGCTCATTCTTTAAAAAGATGTGTGTAGTGTGTGTGTATAGGTGTGGGCGTGAGTGGACGCCATGAGTGTGTGACTGGAGGCCTGAAGAGGGGCTGGATTCCCTGGAGCTGGAGGCAGTGCCATCGTGGCTCCTCTTGCAAGAGCGAGAGTTCGTCACCATAAGCCATCTCTCCCACCCAAGGGTACACTGCCAATGGTTTGTGGGCTTGTTGTTTGTTTTAAAGACTTACTTTGATTGCTGTTAATTATGCACACAGGTGTGTGCTCATGAGTACAGGTGCCCACAGAGTCCAGAAGAGTGGGCACCTGATCTCTGCAGCTGGGGTTACAGGTGGTTGTATGTGCCTGATGTCGGGACTGGGAACTTAAACCCTGGCCCTCTGCCAGAGCAGGACACGCTCTTTACCCATGAGCTTTCTCTCTACCAGTTTGGGTTGTTTTTGTGCTGAACCTAGGACCTCACACATGCTCACTGAGTGCTTGCTCTATCACTGAGCCACATCCCCATTTCACCTTTCTCCCCAGGAATGCACACCTAGATTGTTTCCAGTCTCATGCCTTATAAATCTTTAATGAGAGCTGGAGAGATGGCTCAGCAGTTAAGAGCACTTAGTGCTCTTGTAGAGGACCAGGGTCCAGTTCTCAGCACCTGTGTGGTGGCTCACAATCATCTCTAATCCAGTTCCAGGAGATCTAGTACTCTCTTTTGGCTTCCACGGCACAAGGCATGCACATTGTACAGAGATATATACAATTGCCCCATCTCCTTTGCACAGTGGCTTTAGACTGATTACAATTTTCCTGTCCCAGGTATTTGGCAAAGATGCTTATGAGAACCTTCGATTGCCATAACTGGGATGGAGTAGCTGTTGGTCAGGACAGCCCCGACTTTGAAGAATTATTTCCCATGAAACATCAGTAGTGCTGCTAGCCATTCCAGGAGTTCCCACTTTTGTTGAGTGAAGATTAAAGTTCTGTTTACTTATCACCCAACCTTTTGGATTTATTTGTTGCTGCTCTTTCTCCTCCCTTTTCCTCTATAAGTGTGCATGTGTGTGTTAATGCATGTGTGTGCTGCGTGACATCACTTCTTCGGAGACAAGAACAAACATCTGCTCCGTCCAAACAGGGAACCAGTGACAAACCAAAGTAAGGATGCCGCCAACGTCCAACTTTGTAAATAAGGTTTTTTGGAGTTACAGAAGTGGAAATAAGCCGGAGTGTGCTGCATCGTGAAATGCCCACCCCAGAATGAATTACAGCTCACAAAAGCTGGGAACAGCAGCACCATGGAAAGGAGAGCCTTTCCAGGCAGCTCAGCTTCTCTCTGCTTCTCAGGTGCCTTAGACTGTTTTTTTTTTTTTTTTTTTTAATTATTAATTTTTTTAAGACAGGGTTTTTCTGTATAGCTCTGGCTGGCCTGGAACCCAGATATCCTCCTGCCTCTCAATCCCAAGTGCCGGGATTAAAGGTGTATGCCATCATGCCAGGCTGCTAGTCTTTAACTTATTAATTTTGTGTCTAAGTGCATGTGCATACACTGTCAGTTGCAGGAGCTCAGAAGACGACCCCTGGGACTGGAGTTACAGGTACTTTGTAAGCTGCCATGTGGGTGCTGGGAACCAAAACCACTTCCTCCTTAAGAACAGCAAGTGGTCTTAACTGCTGAGCTACCTCTCCAGCCCCTTTTTCAGTCTGAGAGTATCTCTTAGTTGTCCTTACTACTTATATAAGCTTGGGAAGGGAAGAACCTAGTAACTATGATCAGTTTCAGGGACTTCCTGAAGCCTTTGAGTTGGTTACTTCCTGAAATATGGAATGTTTCACCTCCTCATAGAACACCCTTTTTCTTTTATAAAATTTTTAAATTATATATTCACACATTCACATGCATATATATAGATAGATGATAGATGGGGAAGGAGAGAAAGAGAGTGCATGTGTTATGGGTATTCCTAGTTGCCAACTTGACTACATCTGGAATCAACTAAAACCTAAGTGGCTGAGTACAATTGTGAGGGATATTTTTTAATTAAATCACTTAAAGTGGGTTCCCACTTTTTTTTTTTTTAAATACAAGGTCTCTCTTCATAGCCCAGTTTTATATGGGTTCTGGGAGTCACACTCAGACCCTCTTATTCACAAGCAGAGTATCCACTGAGATGCCCCCTCCTTTTTTTTCCCATGCTGGAGATAAAGCCAGGCCTTGAGCGAGCCAGACAAGCACTCTGGCACTGAGTTAGGCTCCAGCCCTGTGGTTTTTCTGTCGCCTGCTCATTTGTGCCCCACCTCTTCCACTTCTTGTGATCTGGTGCACCAGCTGTGTGGGTGAGAGGCTTGAACCTGGCTGGTCTGCCAGGTGTGTCCCCAGAAAGCTGCTGTCAACTTCCTTTTTCAGTTGTTGAAGAGCTTTTCTGGCCTTGGCTCTGCCTGCCTCAGGGTTCAGGCTCCTCTGGGAATTGGGGACTGGTAGGAAGGGCAAATGAGGCTTCTGAGTGTCTCTACACAAGAACTCTTCTTCAATCTGGAAACATCTTCACAGAAGTGACAGAGGGGCCCACGTGAGGCTCCTCTGCCAGCTGGAGTTTGCTTCTGTGCCCTCTGGATGTCTTCCAGTCCTTGGAGGGGGGCCTCTCAGGGCCGGTTACAGATGTTGTTTCTAGGTAGGCTGGAGTAGCCATGTTTCCTTCCACTGAAGCTCACACTTGGGGCGTGGGAAAGCCTGCCCAGGGACATGGGCAGCTGGACTCTGCATCTCCAGGTACAGGTGGAGCCACTAAGTGCTCATCTGTTACCAGGGAGAATGCTTCACTTGCATGGAATGTTGCATTTCTGTAGAATTACCTGGCAACCAGGTGCCTCAGCCAGATGTGGGCATCTTCTTTCGTGTCTGAGATTCCTGTCTCATCTTGTTTTGTTCTGTGGAGATGGAACCCATGGTCTCAATCCTGCCTTTCCCAGTCCCAGCCCCTCAGTGGGGTATCTGAGACTGCTACAGCTAAGCAACAGCTAGACTCTTTGCTGCTGGGTTTCCAGCAGGTGTTCTATCGGTGAGCTACATGTGTTCCCACCTCTTTTTAAAGAAACTTTTGAAAACATTTTAAGAGCAATTACAATTTGTTATGTCTACGGGGTGTTTTGTCTGCATGTGTATCTGTGCAGCATGTCCATGTTTGGTGCTCTCAGAGGCCAGAAGAGGGCGTCAGATTCCCTGAAACTGGAGCTACAGGTGGTTGTGAGCCCAATGGCCGCGTGGGGCTGAAAGAGAAGCCAGGGCTTTTAACTGTTTGCGATATCACTCCGGCTCCCTCCTTGTTTGACGCCTGATTGCTCAGGCTCAAAAGGCCAGTCCTCCAGCCATCAGCTGCAGAGAGGCCCAGGTCTTCCCTCTGCTGCAGCACTGGTAAGGATTTTCCTCTCAGAAAATAATGGTCCCAGAAGCCCCCCTTCCTTCCTGCTTTCTCCTCTTCCAGTGCTGGAGCAACTACAGGACCTGTAGTACTGATACTACAGACAAGACAAAGACAAGAGACTTGTATGTTTCAGCACTTGGAATTCAGGACCATGCACAGGAGAAACTGGGAAACAGAGGCTTGGAGAGGTGGAGCTACTCTGTCCATGTGACACAGCAGAGCTTGAAGGAAGGCTCCAAGCTCTGAGTCTTCCTCCATCCCCCACTACATGGGCTTGAGGTAGCAAAACTAAAGGTGTGGCGGTGAGCCCCTGTAATCTCAGCATTAGGACGGGGGAGGCCCAATTCTCAAGGTCATCCTCAGCTTTAGAGGTGGTTTGGAGCCAGCCCTAACCCCAAGACCCTGTCTCTTTTTGAAGCGGGACTTGTTATAGACAGCTCAACTCAAGCAATCTGCCTGCCTCGGCCTGCAAAGGAGCTGTGTTTACATAGCCACGCTGACCAGCTTGGACACTACTATAAAAGAACTAACATTCATCACCTCTCTCACAGTTACTCATGTTCTCCTGTGGAAAGAGCAGCTAGAATCGCATTTATAAAGAAATCCTGACTCAATAAACAAAAACATTTGAGCACAAGCTCCAACCAACCCTGAGCTTGCAACCCTCACATCACCCTAATCTTGGAGTCAGCAGAAGGACTGCATTTATCATTTGACATTTTGATCATCGTGGGTCCACTTTTTTCCCATTAATTGATATTTTAAAATACTCATTAGAATATTATCTTGATGATTAATTTCTGAGCTCGAGTCATTCACTCCCGTCGGGGCCGTTTCTGTTTCACCTTCTCTGGCTGCAGCTGACCTATATCTCTTGGGGAAACTGAGGTCCGGAGCGGCAGGGAGGTCTGAGGACAGAATGCCGCTGACCTTTGCTTATCGTCCTCTCATTCAATCCCCGCCTGCCAGAGACCTTTTCGGTGCCTGAGTGGCCGAGATAGCGGCGCGGCTGGGCTGTGACCTTTCCAGGGATCCGACCAGCAGATGCCTCGCCACCGTCTCGGACAGAGAGAACGCGCCTATGAAGTCACCGAACTCCGAGTGCGGCCTCCGCCGCTGACGTAACAGAAGGGCCGCACGGAGACGCGGGGGGGGGGGGGGGGGGGGGGGGGGGTGCGCACCAGAGGCCAGAAAGCGGCCCGGCAAGAAGGAAGCCTTAATGGTCCCATGGCTACGTTGGCGCGAACTACATCTCCCGACGCTCCGTGCACCTGTGCAAGCGAGCAGGACAAACTTTTGACGAGACTGATACGGCTTTAGTCCAACCAGAAGGCCGATTTTAGAGCGGCATCCCGCCCCTTTGTAATTCTCAGGGCCGCTTCCTCGCGCGAGTGACGGGCTTCGCTGCCTTCTAGGGCTCGGCTTCGCCTGACGGACGTGTGACCCGAGGAATCGGAGCTCGGGGAAGTCGAGCGGGCGCTGAAAAGCGTGGACGGCACCCAATAGCATGCTGGAGGCTTCCGGCGCCGTCCAATCGCTGCCCGGGGACCCCGCCCTGTCGCGTGACGTGGTAGGGTGGGTAGCAACAGTTGCCCCGGTGAGGGAAACGGAGGCGCCATAGCCACGGTAGTCGTGGCGACCAAGCAACCCAGCAACGCCAGTCAACAACAACAACCGCGGCCGCCCCCCGCCCCCACGCCCCCGGCCCGGCCCGGGGACCCCGGCGCGCTCGGTCCCCTCTGCACAGCGTCCACGCACCTCCTCAGAGCCTTCCGCGGACACAAGTGCGGAGAAGCCGAGGTAACCGGGGCAGCGCCCGGCAAGCTGGGCGCGCCGGGGCGGGCGGCGGGGCCCGCGCGGTGCCTGTCGCTCGAGTACGGTCCTGAGGGAAGGGGCGGGCGGTCAAGATGGCGGCGGCGACTGTCGGGCCTGTGGGGGAGGGGGCCGGGGTTCGCCGGGGCCACACCACCCGCCCCCGGACCCGCGGCCCGGCCCCCGCAAGGGGCGGGAGCTGGCAGGCCGCGGGCGAGTGGAGGTCGGCCGGCTGGGGCGGGGGGCGCTTTTATGTGTCGGGAGGTGCGGCGAGGCGGGCCTGCGGCGGCTGGACCAATGACAGCGCGCGGGGGCGGGGCGTGCCGGGGTGGGCGGGGCCTGGGTCCCTCCGCCCTCGGAGTCGGGTGCGGCCGCCGACGCTGAGACTGTCCGGGTGTTCCGGACGAGGTGAAGTAGCTTAGGGCGCCTACCTGCCAGAGATTTGGAACTTGGACGTGCAACTATTCCATCTCGGGCCTTTTGCTTTCCTTCCTAAAAAATGGGGACTATTGTTGCCATCCCCTTCTGAACAGTAACTCCTAATTCCTTCCGGCAACTTACCTAGGGCGCACACAAATACAGTTTTCTGTTTCTCAATGAGATCTGATACATTGTTAGTATTGGTTGCAAAGTAACTCGCACTCCTAAACGCGGGAAGGGGTGACAAGATGACCACATTGCAATCAGACTGGCTTTAGCCTGGGGCATTTGGTTGTCGGAAGTTGAAACTCCTGTTGGAGAGAAGTGATCCAAAAATTTAGAGGATTCGAAATTGTTCTCTGGGCTGCTGTCTCAGCCCTTGGGTGGTGCTGGTGTGCGGTGCTTGTTCCTGGAGATTTGGGGTTTCTCCCTAGTTAGTAAGGTCTCCACCTGTGGAAACAGCAAGCCACTGGAGCTGGAGGAGCTGTCTTCAATTCCTTAAGCCACAGTTCGTGGCCTGCCACATGTTCATGTCAAGTCAGTATCCAAAGGGTCAGGCGTCATAAGGTGGTGCCAGACCTACGGGGGCAGGCATGCGTTGCAGCATCAGAAGCAGGGAGAGACACGTTTGCTCGTGAAGGACCTTTGCAACTGCTTTTTGGGGAGTGCAGAACTCGGCCAGCCATGGCAGTTCTTATTGGCTGTGTGGCCAGCCAGGCCAAGGCATTTGAGCTCTGGCACTGGCGTATACTGCAGTGCTTTTAAGAGAATCGACGTTTGCATTGGAAATTAAGCAGGGCAGCGATGGCTCCCACTTGTAGGGGCTTTTCCTACTCTCTCCATAGGGTCTTCAAAGCTAAGACTGTGGAGACTAACTTTCAGGATACTGGAGTTAGCTAGGTTGCTTTAAAAAAATTTTTTTTTTCAGCTTCTATCAGGGAAGGTTGACTTTGAGCAGAAAGTGATGGTGTTGAGTGTCTGGTTTAACTGTCTGCTTCAGCCTCCTCTTTCCAGTAATTCTCATGGTTGAAGGGCCCAGAAAAGGCCCATTTGGCTGCAGTTTCTTTTTACCTAAAACAGTTACTCTGTAGGTATGTGTTCTTGGTGGATCGTGTCACTCTTCTGGGCCTCCGTGTGTCCTCATGTAGGTGCAGAAAGAAATCACTTTAATGTTAGATTACTGTGTATGGATCCCATACAATGTGTCATAGGAAACATGCTAGTACGTGGTAGTGGTCAAATGATATCAGCTGCTCTTATTTTTATTTTATTTTATTTTATTTTTGAGACAGGGTTTCTCTGTGTAGCTTTGGCTGTCCTGGACTAGCTTTGTAGACCAGGCTGGCCTTGAACTTACTTCGATCCCCCTGCCTCTCACACCCTGAGTGCTGGGATTACAGGCGTGTTCCACCAGGCCCAGCTCAGCTGCCGTTATTGAGATGACTGTCACTTCCTGTCCAGCCCTCAGAATTAGCTGTTGGTATTTCATTTTTATCATTTTGTAGGAGAGAGAAGCCTGTTGATGACAGAAGCTGGAACTAAGGAGTACAGACAGCTTCTTCCTTCTCATCTGGGGATTGAACCTAACGCACCCCAAACTAGGCAAGTGCTCTGCACTCAGCTATACAGCAAGCCTCCCTTTTACTTTATTTTTTAATTTAAAGGGTTTAAATTTTATTTATTTATTTTGTGTGTGTGTATACTTGTCAGGGAACAACTAGTGGGGCTTGGTTCTGTCCTACTATGGAGGTCCATGGGTCTGAACTTGAGTCTTACTTAGTTGCAGGTACCTTTATAATGATTCATTTTACTTTTTATTTTATTTTTTTAATATTTTATTATTATTAATTACACTTTATTCATTTTTCCCCCTCCATAAGCCCCTCCCTCCTCCCCTCCTGATCCCATCCTTCCTCCCCTTTCTGCATGCATGCCCCTTCCCAAGTCCACTGATTACTTTTTATTTTGAGTAATAGTCCTGCGAAGTTGTCCAGGCAGGCCTTGAACTTGTGAGCCTTCTTGCCTAGCTTTCTAAGTAGCTGAGATGACAGGTCTGTACCAGCAGGCCAGACTTAGAGCTCTATTGTCTGTGGAGAAGTGTTGCCCACTCTGCTTGCCCCTGAGTGGCCTTTGTTTCTGAGAGTGGTCAGAAAGAAAAGTGCTGTCTGGGTAGAGACCTTGAGCTGGCTGCCAGCTCTCAGGGACTGAACAGAGCTGTGGGGAAGTTGGGAAGGGGAAGTTGGGAAGGGATTTACTGAACAAGGACTCATCCTCTTCCTTGATAGCCCTGGACTAGTCTCTCTGGGTGGGTTCTGTTGTGCACCAAGATGACAGTGCCCCAGGATCAGCCAGCAATGGCTACTGCCTGTAGAGGCTATAGTCTCCTGGATTCTCACTAATCAAAGGATTCCATCCCGCCTTCCTTCCACATGCCAGCAATGTCTTCATTCAGCTGTATTCTTATGTCCAATGCACCGTGAGGCCCCTGGGGTCTGGGGTTCAATGTAGAACACCTGCCTAGTGTGTATAAAACCCAGGTTCCATCCCTAGCACTGTGAAAAAGGGTTGAACTTCAGTATATGTCCATCATTGTTCTAGGAGCTGGGGACAAAGGGTGCTTATGGAGCTGACCTTTCCAGTTCAGGAGGGAAGAGAACTATAAGGAATAAACAAATGGTAATACAGTGGCAAGAACATTAGGGTGTGCTTCAGAGCATTTCAGGGAGGGCTACATGGTGACCAGGGGAAATGGCCTGAATGTTCAGCAGCTAGGCTGGGGACAGAGTCAGAAGCAAGTGATAGGAGGAAAAAGAAGGTGCAAAGGCCCTAAAGCAGGAGGGAATGGGGCATTATTAGACTGAGAGCCTGTGTGGCTAAAACATCCAGAGCAAGAAACACAGGGTCTGAAGGCTCTATAGTCATGAGAAGGATTGTGAATGTTATGTGTTCTCTGATGAGACATGAGACAGTCCAGGTGCTCAGAGGATCCTGTAGGCTGTAGGACAGGTGCTTCAGGGTCTATGTGAAGATGGAGAAGCAAAGATGCCTAAGGGAAAAGCAGCCAGCCTAGACTAGGTGTTAGAACGATTGACAGAAATGGATCAGACAAGGACAAGGGTGGGTGCGCCATTTTACTGAACTTCCGCTTCCCTCCAAAGCCATCACCAAAGCTGTTCTACACATGAGCCGAGTGGCTTTTCTCACCCGTTCCTGGAACCATTTGGTTCTAGGATCTAACATCTGTGGTGTGATCCACCTGTCTGTGTTTGGTGATAGGATGCAACCTCACCTTGTACAGGCGGGGTGGGTCTCTGCTGCTTGTCACTTCCAGCCCTGCTGTCTGGGTATGGAAGAGAGCTAAGAATGATTTTCACAGTTTGGGATGATTGGAAAAGATCAAAAGAATATTTTATAACATGAATATTTTATAAATTTTATGTCATGTAAAAAAATCATAAAATCCAAACCTCTGTCACGTTGGTTTTCTCGCCCCAGGTTTGCAGCCTGCTCATCTGTTGCTCTACCCCATTAGCAGGGTTAGGCGAGTACCACAGGTATGTCTGCCCACAAAGCCAAGCATGGGTACTCTCATCTCCAGGGATAGGTTCAAGCATCCTCCAGGAACTGTTAGTTGGCTTCGAAGACTGTATGTTAGCGGGTGGTTCAGTAGATCATGGAGCACACGCAGGCCTTCTGCAGGTTTCTTTTCCTTATACGACCTTTCATGAAACAAGGCTCTTACACTCAAGAGCATGGGAATCATACCACGTATGATTCATTCCCTTGCAGAGAGCCCCTTGCTCATTTTGAAGGGATAGAGGAGAAGGTACCCATGGACATAGGGCCTTTGGAGCCCTTTCCTGCAGAGAGCGAAGCTGGCTCTAAGGCAATGCATGCTAGGGTAGGAGGTTCTGGACTTCTGAGGGTATTATGGGGGACTAGCTAAAATATATCTGGGGACACCGTGGACTCGGAGCAGCAGAGCCCCGGGGGCTGCCTGTGAAGTTCATACATGGTTGTGAATGAGTGGTAATAACAGTTCTCAATGTCCATGGCACTCACCGGCTGCTAAGGTGATCACATTGGAGTTTTACAGTTGTCCTGTGAACCCAGGTCACAGATGGGCAAACAGGACAGAAGACAGTCAATAACATATGTTTATGAAAAGGTTCACATGGGGCGGTTGCTGATGGCTGCAAACACTGAGCCATGTTAGCTCACATGCAGCCCCTTAACACTGGTTGGTGGAAGATGTGCTGCCCTCTGTATGGACGGCTGTAGCCTCTTCCCTCTCGGGGAAAACTTCCCCTGATGACCACGCCCTTGGCAGGCACGGGAGTGAGGTCGGGCGGCACTGAGGCTAGCTGCCGCTATGTGTCTTACTTGGGCCTTATAGTCTGAACCACTGCTTGTCCTCTGGGTTCTCACAACTTGGCTCAGCCCCAGGTGGTTCTCCTCTCTATCTTTCTGTGCCCCAGGTGGTTCCAGGGCTGCTACCTCTCTCTCTAACTCCTTCACACACACACACACACACACACACACACGCACATACACATGCAAGAACACTCAACATATGCATGCACACATGCATGTACACACACATTCATACATGCTTATGAATGTGAGCACACACACACACACAGGGCAGAAACCCTGTTCCTTGAGAGCACTTTCGTCTCTGGGGACTGTGTTATGAACATTCCCAGGCTTCCCCTTTGTGTGTGTGTGTGTGGCGGGGCGGTGCTGTTAAGGGTGGGTCCCAGGGCCATGTGCATGCTAGGCAAGCAGCCCTACAGAACAGCATCAGGAGGCTACTGTCTGCTATTCCACAGGGAGTCAGTGGAGGAGCTTTCCCAAAGCCACTCAGCCCTGGGTGGTCAAGTTCAAGCTGTGCAGGGCTTGTTTCTCAGCTGACTCCTGAGTTACCATTCCCAGAGTGAAGGCGAGCTTCCTGGCGAGGTGGGGAAGCAGGGAGCACGTTGAGGCCACACTATCAGGGTGTCCCTTTGGGTGTGTGGGTTGACTTCCTGGCCTGCTGCCCTAATTAAGGCTTAGGAAGGTGGTAGGACCTCTGGTGGGAAGGACAGGGAGGGTGTTGTCTACTGTTACAAGTAATTAAGGTCCAGGCCAATGTTCTAGGCCACGCTGGTGCTGCGAGCACCCTGGGCCAGCCACGGGTCTTGGGGCTGAGTCAAGTTAGTGATGGAGGTGAAGAGGTGAAGAGGCCTGAGTGCAGAGGCGGGGACGCCAGATGAGCGCTGCAGTGTCTGCCGAGCAGTCGCTGTTGTCTGCCTCCCAGCCTTCCCCTTGAAGAGCTCATTTGAGGTTGCCCTGCACTAGAGGGCAGCCTGCTGACATGGTGTGGCAGTGGTGCCAGAGGGTCAGTGCTCAAGAGCCTCCCAGTTGGCAGGCTCCCAACGGTGCTATGGCCCAGGGTGACAGCCACTCACCTCTAGGGGACAGGACAAAGACGAAAGCTTGAGGAGCTGGGAATGGGCACCCTTCAAAGCCATCATGCTAAGATGGCCTGAGTACCAGACAGACAAGCTTCTGAGCAGCCACTCTTAGCTTCAGGAGTATCGCACACCCTAAGCTTATAGATTCATTGCTGCTCAGGGCCCCTGAATGGCACCCTGCTATGAGGATACTCAGATGACACTTGGCTTGAGGCTCTAAAAGACAGCCTCCTCTGTGACTTGCCTCAGGATGCCCAGGGTCCAGCTAGGACTGCTGCTTTCCTGCTGTGTGGCCTTCTCTGAGCCTCATCCTGCAAATTCAATTTAGGTCCACCGTGGTGGTTGCAAAGTCTAAAACAGAGCAGTGTGTTGTGGTTGGTCTTGGCTGTCAGCTTAGCTGAATCTGGAATGTGCATGTCCTGTAGCAGGAGGTCTAGGAGATGCCCGCTTGAAGGTATAATAGTGGCATATGCCATTCCAGAGGCTGGGGCGGAAGGATCACAAATTCATGGTTGGCTTGGACTACTGTGTTGCAAGAGACAAAGTGCTAAGGCTATGGCTTAGTGGTAGTGCACTTGTCCTGAGTCCCATGTGCTCAGCCCTGAGTCCCACCCCCAGAGCACCAAAAGAAAAGAGATCCCAGCACTCCAGGGGGAGAGGCAGATCTTTGTGAGTTCCAGGCCAGTTAGGGCTGTATAGTGAGCCCCTGTCTCAGAGGGGAGGAGGTGTTCACTGGGCTGGTAAGAGGAATGATATAGGTGTTCTGGAGGCCACTGGCATTCCCAAGCCTGTCCCAAGTGCTTAGACATACCATTTGTAGACAGGAACACAGGGCCATTGGCAGTCTGGACAGTTGTGCCAGGCATAACCTGAGGCTCTGTGGACACGTTCAGATGCCAGGGAATGGAGGGCATGGGCAACATCCTGGCTCAGGATGAGGCTAGGGAATCCTGTTTGTATCTTCGTCCAGATACCCTATAGGGAGTGGTCCGTTGCATCCAGCTAGGGATTTAATCAAGTCAGTGGTGAGCCCAGAGACATCTCCAGGGAGCTGGGAGCTGGCCTGTTTTATTCTGCTGGTAGATTAATTTTTTTTCTTGTTTTTTTGTTTCTCTCTCCCCCCCCCCCCCCCCGCTTTTCTTCTCAAGGAAGAGGAAAACCGCCTTATTTATTATCATTCACTGTTGGCATGGCAACACAGTCCTATGTTGCTGAGCTACAGGCAGCCCCACAAGCTACCCAGCCGACACAGGCCCCGCCCCAGGCCCTGCCCCAGCCACCACCCCCAGCAGCACCCCAGCCTCCTGCTGCAGCAACCCCCCAGCCCCAGTATGTCACCGAGCTACAGAGCCCCCAGCCCCAGACGCAGCCCCCGGGCAGCCAGAAGCAGTATGTGGCAGAGCTCCCGGCTGCCCCTGCGCCCTCACAGCCTGCCACTCCTGCCCCATCCCCTGTGGCTCAGCAGTATATCGTGGTTACTGTCTCAGGTAAGTTCACACCGGCACTTGTGACCAGAGTGCTTGGAACATCTCTGGGAGGAGTTTTGGGGAGCTTAGCATCTAGGGATTTTATCCAGGGCTACCTGTGGGATTTAGGGCATATTTAGGGCATAGGTAAAGGGAGTCAGGACAAACAGAGAAGCTTCTGTATCCCATCAGGATGTTTCATTTTTGTCTGTTCCCAAATAAAATGTCCCCAGAAAAGAGGATGGGATGGTGAAATTCAATTTGCACACATCCACAGGGCCCCAGCCCTGTGCCCTTCTGCCTAGGTCTTACTGCTGATACAGCGAGCATTGTAGCTTCTCCATGTGGGGACATGTGACACACACCTAGAGTGGCTGGCTGAGAGGGGTCCTTGAGAGAGGTGGTTAGATGTCCGGGAGGAGCAGGACCTGGTGACCAAGCAAGCCCCTGAGCCTATGGCTATCCTTGTGCCATGGAGAAAGTCTACTGTCATAGCATGAAAAATGGAAAAGGGAAGGTTGGACTTGAGAGAAGCCCAACCACAGCTGAAAGTGGCCCGTTCTGACTCAGAGCCCTAAGTCTGCTTTGTTCCTGTGTCACCAAGGCCCCCATCCTCTGTCCTTCTTCCTTGGGAAGCAGGAGGAGGCAGATGCTTCCTGCACCAGAACAGCCAGTGTGACACTTATCCTTGTCGGTGCACCCTGCACTCTCTGCTCCACCTGAGCCTCCAGCTCACCTCATGGGACCAGCTGGAGGGGGAGTAGTGCCCCCTGCCCCAACCTCTTCTGCAGGGTCCTGCAGCTCCTGCCAGACTTGGCCTACAGAACTCTTCCTCAACTGCCAAGTGAATCAGGACCCCCTGGGCCTGGCCTTCTGCCTACATCTGCAGCCTACTTCTTGGTTTCTTTTAAAGACAGATATTCTCAAACTACTAGCAACTTCATTACTGATTCCTCTAGCACACCCTGTTCTCAGCCCCCTGTGACCTTGCCTCTCATTCCACCTGTGGTCTCCCATTAGGGTCCCCTTCATCTCATCATGTCACACTCACCGGCCATTCTGTTAGTCTAGGCAGAGCCTGGCAGTTTGACTCCTACCTCAGATCTGCACACCTGCCCAGATTTCACCCACTTTTGCCATCTCTTTATTGCCTCCACTCTCCTGTGCCTCACCTGTCTGAGCCATAGTAGCAAAGGGCAGGTCTCAGCCTTAGGCTGGGCCCGTCTCTGCTCCAGAAGTCGTGCCTTCCTGAAGTGTCCTGATTCCCACTTCCTCCCTTCTTCCCAGTAGTAGGGTTTGAACCCAGAGCCTCACACAACTCTAGGCCAATAAGCTACATCCCAAGCCCTCTTTTTACTCTTTACTGGGACAGGGTCTCATTAAGTTATCCACACTGTCCTTAACTCACTCTAACCCAGCTGGCCTTCACCTTATCATCCTTTTGCTCCAGCCTCTCAGAAGCAGATGGCACCAGATCCAACAGTGTCAAAACTTACCATGCTCCTGTTGAGGTCTCCAGCATGGCCTCTGCCCTGAGCCCCAGGATCTTGTGACTAGGCCTTCTAGGTATGGCTACCAAAGGTCAAGCTGGTCTTGAAGCCAGCCTGACAGCTGGTTTTCAGAATTCCACCTTCGCCCTCCAGCTTTCCTCTGAGATGTCTCCTTCCACTCAGGTCCCGCTTGGCTTCTCCTGTCCTGCTTGTCCGGGTATTAGCCCTCCAGCCTACCTCCACTTCCTGAGCCCCCCCAGGTCCTCCTTCCTGCTGTGCCCATGGCTCCGAATAGCTTCTGATGCTCTCACAGTAGCTGCAAGGAGCTTGTCCCTAGCTGTCACTCAGCCCCCTTCGCATCCTGTCTCAACCCAGATTCCAGAGGGCCTTTAGGGCATGGGAGTTTGCAGTACTGGAAGGCTGGCCCTGGCCCCCTCCCCTCAGAAAAGGGCTTTAAAAGTACCCCATAAGCCAGGTACGGTGAACACCTATAATCACACTGGGGAGGTTGCAGCTGGAGGATTCAGTTTGAGGCTAACCTTGATATATATCCTGTTTCAAATTTTTTTTCCATGTCATGGGCTTCCTGTGTCTGGCCCAGCAGCTTCCAGCCCTGTACCCTGACATGACTACTTCAGCCTCACCAGCCTTCCGAACCCATGCCAGCTCACCAGCTTAGCCTACTTCCTCCCCTTTTAACCCTGACACCTACTACCTCAAGCACACCCAGCCTAGCCCTTCTGCCACCTGTCATCATCTCCAGGCCTCTCCTCAAAGCCACTTCCCCTGCCCTCCACTCCCACCCATCATCACTTTTCTTCAATTATCATCATGTGATGTGTTGATGTTTTTGAAGACAGGGTTATGTCTCTGGGTCTTTATGCACTCTGGATACACGACTGGCCTGGCACAGCTAGTTGAGGCCATCTAGCCTAGTATCCATTGCCTTTGGGTGACCCACCGCAGGTTCCCACTGCAGGCATTTGGTGTCATCAGAGCAGGGTCTGGAACAGGCACACTGTCCCAGGCCCTAGAACACCTTGTATCCTTTCTATCTGCCTCAGCTTCTCCTAGGTCTTCATGGCACCCCATAGAGGATCTGGTATTCAAAGGCCCAGGCTACAGAGTGGCATTTAGGTTAGACCTAGGTCAGCCTCACGAGCTGTCGGGTTGGGAGACAGCATGCTACAGAGGACAAGGTACATATACAGTAGGCTGCAGCTCTTGTCTGCAGTGTCTTTCTGCCAGGCTCATACCCCTGGCTGCACAGTGACTTGTTGCCTGCTTTTCACAGTGACCCTGGGGGATGCCATCCCACTGTTGGGGTTCTGGCAGGAGTGAGCCCATCCCTGCAAAAGTCCCTGTTGCCCCATGAGTGCTGAGGAAGAAGAGGGAGGCTGCTGCCCTCCCCACTTCTGTGTTGTCTTCTTACTCCCTCTCCAAGGCTGCCGATGTGAGCCAGTCCTTTGAGGAAGGGGAGGCTGACACCAGAGAGGATGAACAGGGAGGTGCCTAGGCTAGCTCCTGAGACAGGAGCAATGTGGGCTTACTAAAAACCCTGTGAGTTCACTGCAGGGGGAAGGGCTGCCCTTGCCCCTAGAAGGTAGGCAGCAGAAGTAAGCTGAGACCTCTAGCCTGGGCCTGGCACGCTCAGCGCTAAGGTGACTTTGGTGATGATGGAAGGGAGCTCAGGTTTCCCTGGCCAGACAATACAAATCCATAATCCCCATCCTCCTCTGAGAGGCCTCTAGAACTCAAGGTGGAAGGAGGTAGCTGTAGGCTGGGAGGTGGAGTCAGACCGGCCTAGAGGGGACAGGGAGCCTGCAGGAGACACGGAGGCCACTCAGCTTCTCTGCTTCCCGTCAGCTTGTGGTCCTCCAGAGTTCAAGAGGGCTGTGCCTACAGGAGGAAATGAGGCCCAAGGAGACATAAAGTCCTTGGGACAGCAGGCCCCAGAACCCAGTCCTATACTGTTTCATACCATCCCCAGGAGCAAGTAGAAGAGGGTCAGATGGATCTGTCAACCCCTGGAGAAGAGGGGCCTGGGTGGTGAGGATGCCAGAGATCAGCCTCCTGAGCATGCCTTCAGCTTCCTGAAGAACTGGCTTGCTCTCTTTAGGCTCAGGGGTGAACAGGTGTAGGTGGAGAGTCAGGTACCTGAAGGAAGTGGTGACTGCATGGAGATATGCTGACTCAAACAGGAAATTAGCTGTTTCCTGACTCTGGCTTCAAGGGCCTCCTGCTTATGCACATGCCCAGAGGAGAGATGGCCAACAGACACAGCTGCCCCCAGACTCCGTACTTTCCCCCCTTTCCTCCCAGCTTCCTGTTCAAAACCGAGCCAGGAAGCCTCTGGCCCATCCATCTGCCTGGTGGTGGTGGGTAGGGAAGAGCCCAGCCTTAAAGGCCACCCCAATGCAGGTGACAGCAGGATTGCTTCTGGGATAGATGCCTGATTGGAGCAGATCTCCAGGTGTCCAGCTGCAGGGTCTGGCTCAAGGGCCAGCCCCTGGACATTGTAGGTGGCTCAGGCCCTGAGCCACAGCAAGTCCCCCATGGGTCTCCTTAGTCTGTATTCCAGACAGCCCAGGTATGGGGAGGGAGAGGGAGCAAGATCTATGACTCTAGGCCAGCTTGGACCTTCTCTAGGACCCAGAGAAGCCTAAAGAACTTTTGAGGGAAGGCTCCAGCAAAATCTATTTATCTCTGCTTAGAATTGCAGTAGCTATTCAAGCAGGCCTGGGAAGGGCCACAGGAAATCTTCCCTGACAACTCCCCCACATCTGTCCATTTCTGGGGCATACTCAGATGCTCTCAGGCAGACTGGGCCAGCTTCCTGGGCCCCTTTCCTGTGTCCCTTTTGGAAGCTGAATCCTATTACGGTGTCAAGTGTCTTTGAGGGCCCCAGTTTCCTGAGCCAGTCTGTGTAACCCTGCCTATTAAGACTAGAAACCTGGGGAAGGTGTGTGGTGTTGGGCAATGTGGGCATACAGGGACACCTGGGATCCAGGCCAGACCCCCCAGCTGGGTGATTACAAGGTGGCTGTCACCTGAAAATGAGAAAGCTAAGTACTATCTCCAGGGACCCAGAAACCCCTAGAGCAGCACACGGTGCACCAAAAACGGTATCAGTGTCCACTGCTATCTTTTTGGTAACCCTTGTCCATGTAGCCCTTCAGCCCTGTGGGAGGTCAGGTAACCTCTCTGGACCCTAAGCTGCCAAGGAACAAGTTAGGCTATGTGTAGGGGATGGGCCAGATGACATCCCAGCTTGGGCAAGAATCTCCGGGCCAGTGTGCCTCAGGGGCACTGCCCCTCTCCACTTCCCTGCTGCCCCTGAATCACTTAGCAGTATGTGTATGAAATGTGACCTGCCTCCAACTGATAGCATCTCTGGGTACCAGCCATCCTCCTCTCCTGGCCCCAGCCCCCTCGAAGCCAGAATGAAGCAGATTGTTTATCTAAGAGGGCATGAAGGAGTTCCGAGCCCATGGCAGGGATTAGCTCCCCAAGGCTGTGGGTATAAAGCCACCTGTACACTCTGCTGTTCCCGTAGTGCTTGGCACCTGGGACAGCTGGAGAGCAGGGGTAGGAGCACACAGGGGCACTATGTTCTGTGATTGTCTCTTCTGGGCTGCCTGCCAACGTAAGTACCTGCACTTTGGGCTTTGAGACCCTTGCTCCACTCAGGTAGGGAGGAAAGCTCACACTTTTACCACCTGTGTTTCCTAAGAAGCCAGAAGAAGCTCAGCATCTTGGTCCCTCTTGAGCTGCCAGGACTTGAGCCAGGAGCAGAGGGTCCAGTCTACTGTCTCTCCATATCCATAGTTCTGCTTTGAAGGAAAGAGGCATACAGCTTCAGAACAAGAAGATCAGGGGGCTAATTCCAGATGTCAAGGATCCTAGGCCCTCATCCCATCCTGCCATGTACCTCTGATGAAGTCTAGAAAAGGCCAGGCAAGACTTGGAGAGGCCAGCTCTCAGTAAGGGTGGACTATAGGCTGCATTGCCCTCTGCTGATGGGCTCATTCTTGGAGTAGAGGCAGAGACAGCAGGCGGAGCTGACCTGCTGACCTTTTCCCACAGAAGGTGCCATGCGGGCTAGTGAGACTGTGTCAGAGGCCAGCCCCAGTTCCACGGCAAGCCAGACCGGTGTCCCCACCCAGGTTGTACAGCAGGTGCAGGGCACCCAGCAGGTAGGACATGACCTTCACTGGAGGGGTGGGTGGGGGAAGGCTCTCCCCACCTTCCTGCCATGAACATCTGTTTACCTGACTTATCAAGATATGGCAGCAGCCACCTCCACCCACCCATCCTGGTAAGCAACCCTAGTTCAGCTCCTTTCTTCTTACCTCCACAGCGGCTGTTGGTCCAGGCAAGTGTGCAGGCCAAGCCAGGCCATGTGTCACCCCTGCAGCTTACCAACATCCAGGTGCCACAGCAGGTAAGGCTCCTGACCCCAGCCTCCTGAGGGGCAGAGAAGCACTTCCCTCCTGCTTGCTTGTCTCTGTCCTTGCCAGGACTCTAGGTTTCATCTACAGGCTGCCCATCTCCGGGCTTTGGACAGTGGCCTCTACAGGCAAGATCAAATACCATAGGGGCTGGTGTCCAAGCAGCCTCAGGAATCATGGTACTTACACCAAGGACAAGCCTGTAGGTCTAGTCCCAGCATCTTAGGGTGAAGTCTAAGAAGGCCACAGTCTGGTGGAGGGCCCTTGACCATTTCTAGTTTGTCAGCTCATATTTGGACTGTGCTAGAATGCTGGGGCTGGAACCCAGCTCTGGGGAATATCAGCACATCCCAACCCAATACTACTGGTGGACTGTAAGGATCAGATGGTCAGATGGTTCTTTTTTTTTGGGGGGGGGGAGGTGTTTTGAGATTGGGTCTCATATGGCCTGGAACTCCATATATAGTGGAATATGACCTTGAACTCCTGATCTTAGGATTGCAGGCATACACCCACACTGGGCTCTAGAACATGTTTTATGCCTTTTGAATCAGGAACCAACTGTGTCTTTGCAACTTCTTGGCTTCAGGGCACAATGAGCCCTTCATCAACCTTGAGCTTGGGTGTTACCTGCTATGGAGACGAGCCATAACTATGCTGTGTTGGGGCGTGGGGCAGTCCCCAAGCTGACAGGCATGCAGTGCCTAGAATGTTCCTAGTGCACAGGAGCTCAGTGAAATTGCTGAAGACTGGAATGAAGTTCATTGGTGGTGTATGTGTGTGGACTGGGTTCTATCCCTAGCAGATGAAAACGAAACCAAAAGCTTGGCTGTGGCTGGTGGTGCTAGTGACCGTGCTCCTTTTCCTTTTAACTCCAGGCTCTCCCCACACAGCACCTGGTGGTGCAGAGCACAGCACCGGGCACCAAGGGTGGCCAGGTCTCCCTCACGGTGCACAGCGCCCAGCAGGTGCACTCTGCTCCTGAGGTAGGTGGCGCCTCATGACATCTTCCCACCTTCTTTCCCCATTCCAGCCATGGACCCCCAACAGCATGTTTGTACCACATCACCTGTTTTTGGCTACAAGGTTTTTGGCATTCTGACTAGCACCAAACTCCTGTGTAGAGCAGGCTAGCCTAGGACATGAGATCCTCCTGTCTCAGTCCTACGTGCTGCATGGCAGGTGTGTACCTCCACGCATAGCTTCACTTGAAGCTCTCTTGCCTTGAGCTCATTTGCAGCTCCTGAGTCCTACTATCCCTGCTCCATTGACCCTGGGTGGGGTTATCTAGCTAATGCCTGGCCCTGCTGGCCCAGCTGAGGTTGAGAGAGCTGTATTCCAGAAAATAAGAGTTTCCTCTTCTAGCTTCAGGATGGATGAGTCCCTTCATGGGAGCCTTGGAACACACACACACACACACACACACACACACACACACACACACACAGTAGTAAGGGCTTTCAGGCAGCGGGTTGTAGGTGGTCCTGAGCACAGATTAAGAGTGCCAGGCAGTGCCCTTTAATCCCAGATCTTGGGAGGCAGATACTGGTGGATCTCTGAGTTCGATGCTAGCCTGTCTACACAGTGAGTTCCAGAACAGCCAGGGCTATTACATAGTTGGGGGGAAAATGCAGGGCCAGATGCTAGGCTTAGCTGAGTCTGTGAGCAGGTCTTCCAGCATTGCAACACAGTATTTTCTGTGTATAGCAGAGCTACTGGCACTGGAGATGCTGCCACACACCTGCACTCAGGAGGCTGGAGCAGAAGGGTTTCAGGTGTGGGGCTAACTTGGGCTTTACAGCGAGACCCTGTCTCAGAAAGAGCTAATGAAATCCACTGTTCATCCGCTCCCTATTGTAAGAATTGCAGTCCAGGTTAGTGCAGCATGCCTCAGAGAAAATATACCCCCCCCCCCCCATTTGGTCCTGGGCATCCTTCCCTTCTATTTCCACTGGGAAATGGGCATCTGAAGCACCCACTGCTGCAAGTGACGGGGGGGGGGGGTAGCACAAGGTGAAGGTACATGCCACTGTTGTTACTAGTGGAGCACAGGGAAGCCCAGCAGGGCAGGATGGGCCCTGGGACCAGACCAGCTCCCAGCCTCGTCTTTACCCTTGCTGCAGCCCTTCTTGGGCCACTATTTTTTTTTTTTTTTATGTCCGCATTTCATACATTATTTTGGGAGTCGATTTTTTCTTTGATATGAGCATTCGTGTGTATGAATGGTGAACATGATTTGAGTAGGCTCCTTCCTCATTCAAAGTGTTTGATGTGAGCCCTGCTTTCCTAGCTTAGGTTGCTCTCCTAGCCCCAGCTAGAAAGATAGACCAGTGCTGGAGTTCTGAGAAAGAGAGAGAGAGGAAAAAAGGAAGAGGGGGAGGGGGGGCAGGTCTCTGGGCCCCTCCATGCTAGCTCGCATCGACCTCACATCAGCCCTACAACACCACGCTAGGGAGTGGCTCCTGACTTTCCCCAACCTTAAGGAGCAAGGAAGCCCCAGACTTCGGGAAGGGTTGCAGTCCCTGGTGGGAGCATGTGCTTTGGTCACAGGCGATGGGGTGTGGCGAGGGAGTCCTGGGAGGAGCAGGCCTCTCCAGGGCAGCCCTGGGACATGAGTCACAGGACAGTGACAGGAGGGACAGCCTGAGCCACAGCCCAGAGGGGAGGAGGGGACACCGCAGGGCCAGACAGATGGAAGGCTCTACAGAGGCCGGGGGTATGGAAACCCCAGATGACCTCTGGCCCTCAGGGGAGGATGGGGCACCTGCAGCCCTCTGGGTAGAGCCCTGCAGAGCGGCGCTTGTGACTGCTGTGGGATATTCCACCCACTCCAGAGTCCTTCTGAGGCGGGTTTGTTGGTGCCTAGATGCCCCCAGATACAACCACAGCTGACATTGTCCCTATTTGTTCTCTTACAGAGGTCACCAGTGCAGGCCAACAACTCCACCAGCAAGACACCTGGAGCTCCTGCGGGCACTGTGCAGCAACTACAGGTCCACAATGTCCAGCAGAGTGTCCCTGTCACCCAAGAGGTGCCTGGCCAGGGCGGGTAGTAGCTGGGACCAGGGGATAAGGCCAAGCAGCTGCCTGTGTCTGGGTTCCTGGCCTGTTAGAGCCAATCAGATATGGTCCAGCTCCAGCCTGCCATGTGGGCTTTTGACAAGAGCCTCTGCCTCCATTTAGATTCAGTGTCCCTCGCTGTGACACTTTGCTGAGGTACCTCACAAGGCACATTCCAGCTTTAAAAGCCCACGTTTGTAGAGCAGGGGGTGTGCTTAGTGGGTGTGCTTGGGGCACTTGCCACCAAGCCTGATAACCTGAGTTTCATCCCTGAGCCCTGCATGACAACTAACATGTTGTCCTCTGACTTCTACACACATGCCACAGATACAGAAAAAGAAAAGAAAACCCACCTTGGAAGGCTGGGCGTGTAGAGGGCAGAGCACTTGCCATCATGAACAAGGCCCTGGTTCCACCTTGGTTCTACAAAACCAAAACCACAAGAATATACATTGGCCTCTTTGGGCTAGTTTACTGGGAAGGGGAAGTATCAAGGCCCAATCGTTGCTTATTCCCAAAGTGTCAAAGAGAGGCCTTTGGTGTTATTTTTCTTCATATCTGGGGTATTTTGCTTGCATATATGTCTGTGCACTATGGGTGTACCTAGAAGTGGAGTTAAAGTTGTGAGCCACTGTGTGGGTGCTAGGAATTGGACTTAGGTCTTTGGAAGAACAGCCAGTTCACTTAAGTACTGGGCTGTCTCCTAAGTCTATCATTCTTAGGATGTACTCAACCTTCCAGAGGAGGCCAAGTTCCCTGGTGCCAGCCACGGTGGTCTGAGCACGCCAAGAGGCAAGGATGGTCTTGTATCTCCTTGTTAACTGCTTAACTTTGGGGGTTCTTGGCTTCTCAATAAACAAGATGAGAAGAGGTTTGTGTGTCTGCATAGTGTCAGCTGCTTGAGAGGCTCAGGCCAGCCAGGAGATCTCAACTTCAAGGCCAGTCAGGGCAATGTACTGAGACACTGCTTCAGAATAAAAATTTAAGAAGTGCTGGGAGTGTAGCTTAGTGGTAAAGAGCTCGCCTACCATGCAGGAGGCCCCAGGTTCCCTAGAACCAGGCCGAAAATCTCAGGCCCAAGACTCTCCCTGGAAACAGAAACCTCCAATCCAAAGGATTCACTGGCATTTCCCTTCTCTGGCTAGAATCACTCTGAACCTCCAGATGGCCCATAACCGGGGCAGTAAGGAGCTGGGAAGGCCTGTGTTGCTGGACCCCACAAGGAAAGGCTGCCCTCCTTCTGGGGAATGCAGCCTCTTCCCTAGATGACTGTTCTGAGCATGCCTGGGACTTTCTGCCCTGGTTGCCATGGTTACCATAGTCAGACTTGCCTCTCCCTCCCCTTCTTTCCCAGAGGTCAGTAGTCCAGGCCACTCCACAGACCAAAGCTGGCCCCGTACAGCAGCTGGCGGTGCAGGGACTGCAGCCAGTTCACGTTGCTCAAGAGGTGCGTGTGTTGTCTCTGTTAGGGGCGATCAGACTGTTCCTGGGCTGTGCTGGGGTTAGGCACCTAATCCTGAGGGAGGAATGGAGCCACCTGGGACCCCTGAAGGGCGGACACAACGGGAGCCCGTGAGGTTTGAAACCCTGCACAAGTCAGGCCCTGGGCTACAGACTCCATCCTGAGTCCTCCCACATCCCAGCACCTGACCACTCAGAACACGGGTCTGGTTGAGAGAGACCTGGATCCGAGTACTGCTTCTTTGTGATAGTGCCGGGTCCACTCCTCTCTCCCCTAAGGAGACACCAGTGGGAAGTCTTCATCCGGGTGGCCATGCGCGCACAGTCCGGTGACCCCCCAGTGTCTCTGTTTGTCCTCCAGAGATCAGGCAGTCAGTTTCCCGCTAGGAAGGCAGAGCAGCGAGAAACACGGCCCACGCCGCCACCGGAGCCGCCGCCCCGGCCTCCCGGGCCTGGGCCTCCCGGGCCTGGGCCAGTGTGCTGTGGCGAGGCCTCGCAGCTAGGCAGCGAGCAGCCGCCGCCCCATTACGAGCCGGGTGTGGAGCAGTGGGTGGAGCTGGTGGGCATGCTGCCCCCACATCTGCTCCTGCCGCAGCAGAGGGTAGTCTTCGAGCCACTGCCGGGGCTCTCGGCCCGAGCCAGCCCCGACCTGAGAGTCAGGATCCACAGAATGCCCCAGGTGCTAGTGTTCGGCACCGCCCTCAAAGTAGGTGGTGGCGCGGACGGGGGGCGGAGGGCGGGCGGGGGCGGGGCGTCCCGCCTGCTGGGCCGCTTCGGCCCCGCCTCCAAGCCAAGTCTAGGCCCCCCAGGCTCCGCCCCAGCAGCCCAAAGAGGGTGGGGTGAAATATCTATGCCCGGCCTGCAAAGTGGTGCCAATATTCCAGGTTCTGCCTGAGTCCCAGGCTTCGCCCCTGCAAACTGGGGTTGGGGGTGGAGGTGGGCTATCCAGTACTTGCCCTAAGTTTTATCAGTCATTTCCGGTTCTCTTCTATCAACTGACTCCTTTAGGCTCCACCACTAACATCCTCCTTGGGAAACCTGTAAGGTTTCCAGAAGCCCCTCATGCCCAGTTTTTAATTACAAACCAGGTACACTGGTGCCTGTGTTTGCCACCTTTCAAGTCCATTGTAGAATTCTGTCTGGCTTCCCCTCCCTTTCCATCAGCATCCACAACCTCTTTTCTGTTCCCAACCAAAGCAGAGAACCCCAGCCACAGCCAAGACTTCCACCTTCAGCCTCCAATCTCTGGCCTGTGTTGTTCAGAGAACGCTGATGTACACCCCTCCAGCTGAGGACTTCCCCGGGCACCAGGGAGACCATGGGTGGTGGCCAGCTCTGACCCATGGCCCTGCTTTTTGTCCTGCTTCAGGTACAGCAGCTCCAGCAGGTACCTGTCCCACATGTGTACTCCAGCCAGGTGCAGTATGTGGAGGGTGGCGATGCCAGCTACACAGCCAGTGCCATGTAAGTGGGCCGAGGATGGAGGGAGGACTCAGATCTGTTTAGGGCACAGGGCTACAGTTCTACCTCCCAACTGGCCTCCAAGACTCAGGCGATAGCCCCAGCCCTGTGGGAACTTGGCAGGGGCAGCCAGCAGCTGCCAGGAATATAGGCAGCTGGTAGCAGAGGAGACACTGGCCCGCTGGGAAGGCACACAAGTTAGGGGCTATGCAGGTAAATACATGTAGGGAAAGAAAAAACATACATATATGTATACCTGTGATATATATATATATATATATATATATATATATATATATATATATATATATGTATGTATGTTTGTATGTATGTATGTGTATGTATATATATTTTTTTAACATAGTTTTTTTTTTTTTTTTTTTTTGGGGTTTTTGTTTTGTTTTGTTGGTTTTTTTTTTTTTTCCAAGACAGGGTTTCTCTGTGTAGCCCTGGCTGTCCTGGAACTCACTCTGTAGATCAGGCTGGCCTGGAATTCAGAGATGTACCTACCTCTGCCTCCTGAGTGCTGGGAATAGAGGTGTCCATCTCTGACACCTGGCTAAATTTTTCTGCATAAGAGTTACGCAGGAAAAAGCAGTTCTCAGATTTGATCCTCTGTGTCCCACAGAGTGATTAATGTGTCCTATTTCTCTGCTTCTAAGTTCTGTGTTCTGAGCATAGAACTGTCCTGTTTCAGCAGCACCGGGGAGGCAGAGGCAGGAGGAATTTTTTATTATTACATTGGTTTATTTATGTGGGGGCGGGGGGATGTGTGCGCCACGGAGCACTTGTTGTGAGAACAACCCAAAGGAGTCAGTTTTCTCTCTCCATTGCGTGGGTCCCAGGGCTCAAACTCAGTTCCACAGGCTTGGTGGCAAGCAAGCCTGAGCCACGTTGCTGGTCCCTCAGAAGATCTCAAGTTGAAGGCCAGTTACACGGTCAAGTCCTGTCTCAAAAATCCCAAAATAAAAAAATTATTTCTTTGTTCAGAAACGTAGGCTGAACCAGGCGTGGTGACACACGCCTGTAATCCCAGCACTCAGGGAGCAGAGGCAAGTGGATCTCTGTGAGTTCGATGCCAGGCTGCTCTACAGAGTGAGTCCAGAACAGCCAAGGCTACACAAGAGAAACCCTGTCTCAAAAAACCAACGGTTACATATTCTCTCTCGGATTTTTTAGGGGCTAGGGGTTGACTCAATTAGTAAATTGCTTGCTTATCAAACATGAGAATCTGAGGTCTGGCGCGTGGGTTGGAAGGACTAAAAGGCAGTCGTCTTGATTCTCCTCACCCTGCCCTAGCCCTCTTGAGTTTGCAGCATCCAAAGATGGGCCCACATGTTATCAATGTACCACTATAGTTGTCAGACCTGCTACCTACCCAGTCCATGTTCTGAGGTGAAGGGGCAGTACCCTATCAGGAAGAAGTAGCCAAGCAAGGCACTCCTCTGCTTGTTCTACAGCCCTTTGTACTTTGCCATCCTGTCTAGATTTTCTTCCTTGGACCCACAATTTACTTGTTATTTATTGCACTCTTGAGTTCTGGAGCCCTACCTTGCTTTCTCCTCTTCTGCAGTAAGAAAAGTGATTCCTGTGCCAGAGTGCTCCATAGTTCAGTGAAAGAGGCCTAGCAATGACTGGTGAGAGGGCTTAGCAGGAGCTTGCTGCCAAGCTTTGCAACCCAAGTTCAATCTCCCTAACTCACATAGTGGAAGGAGAGCTCCGGGCTCCCACAAGTTCTCTGTGACCCCTACATGTATGCCACGACATATGTGCGCCCCTCCAAGTAAGAAACAAGGAAATTTGTAGATAAAAGCAAGAAAGCGGTTGCTCACCTGTGCTTAGCCGTTCCCCAGTCCCTTATGGTGAAGGTGGGCCACCCTGGTGTTTCTGTGGCTTCTCTGGGCCTCTCCTGGAAACTGCTTCCTTGTTCAGGCTCACTGAACATGCTTCATGTCTGCTTCTCGGCAGCCGCTCTAGCACCTACCCCTACCCTGAGACGCCGATCTACACACAGCCAGCGGGTACCAGCTACTATGAGGCTTCAGGCACAGCTGCCCAGGTCAGCTCGCCGGCTACTTCCCAGACGGTGGCCAGCAGCGGCTCAGTGCCTATGTATGTGTCCGGGAGCCCGATTGTCGCCAGCTCCTCCAGCAGCGAGGCCGGGGCCAGCAACAGCAGCGTGGGTGCAGGGGCCAGCGCAGGAGGTGGCAACAGTGGCGGCGGCAGCGGCGGCGGCGGCAGCGGTGGAGCAGGCACCTACGTGATCCAAGGTGGCTACATGCTAGGCAACGCCAGCCAGTCTTATTCCCACACCACCCGTGCCTCACCAGCCACAGTGAGTGTGCCAGTCTTATTCTGAGGGGATGGGAGGCGAGAGCGAGTTTTCGGGGAAAGACTTGGCCATAATCAGGGAACAGAAATTTGGTTGGAGGCGCTGCTCACTGGTACAGGAGTCGCCTGACCCAGGGCCTGCTGTCCTGTGGCGCAAGCGATGTTGCTCATCGCTCTGCATGTCAGCTGCTCTGGGGACAGTTACGAAAATGTCCTTCATCAGAACTGGTGATGGTTTGATGAGAAGTGAGAGATGTGAACTCCTAGAGTCCCGTTGGTGGTGATGAATTTGGGCCCATTATTAGTTGGGACTATGGGTTGGGTCGGAACACCTCGTTCCCCCCGGCACCCTCCCCATATACTGTGGGCCCTGGTTGCTCGTCCTCACTAGTTTATCTAGTCTGTCTACAAAATACTGCTGTGAACGTGGGACGCCATCACCATGTGGGTCCTCAGCTGCAGTTTCAGAACATAGCCACTACACCAGCAGAATGAGCAGGTCTGACGGGGAGTTGGAGGTTCTTTGTGCCTGGCAGGCGCCTCTTGCCCTGGATTGCTGTTGAGCCCGGGTGGCTGAGGACCTCAAGGAACTGCTTGTGTTTTCCTTTTTGGTCACTTATTTGAGAGAGTTACAGGTTCACAGGAAGCTGCAAAGATGGTGCCTTGCACTGACTGGGTGGCACATGCCTGTGATCCCAGCACTGGGAGACAGAAGCATCTGAGGCCAGTCTGGCCTACATAGTTTCAAGCTAGACAGGGAAACTTAACATGGGCTTCTTTGAAAAACAAGCCCACACAGGCTGAAGTGGCTCAGCAGGCAAAGGTGCTTGCCACCAAGCCCGACTACCTGAGCTCAGCCCCTAGAGCCCACATGGTAGGAAAAAACCAACCCTCTGACCATCACATGCCTACCTTCCCCACATAAAATTAATGAGCATAGTAAGAACAGTCAACAGAAAGGGGCTGAGGAAATGGCCCAGTTAATAAAGTGCTTGCTGTGAAAACAAGAAGTTCTGAGTTTGGATCCCCAGCAGCCTCACAAGTCTTATAAACCCAATGCTAGGAAGAGACAGGGAGGTATTGGGGCTCGCTCACAGCCAGCCACGGTGTAAGCTCTAGAGTCTGTGAGAGATGCTCTCTCAAAAAACAAACAAATGAAAACCAACCAAACAAAAAAAACAAAACAAAACAAGGTGGGGTGGGGCAAGAGAGACAGTTCGGTGGTTAGGAGCACTGGCTGTTCTTCTAGAAGACCCAGGTTCGATTCCCAGCACCTACATGGTAGCCCACAATAGTCTGTAACTCCAGCTCCAGGGACTCTGACACCCTCTTCTGGCCCCTGTGGGGACCAGGCATGTATGGTGTACAGACATACATGTAACACTCATACCTATAAAATAAAATTAAACAACAAAAACAAAGTAGATAGCAACTGAGGAAGACATCAGCTGTCAACCTTTGACCTCTAAACACATGCCCCACACACCTATTCCACTTATATAAACACTTACACACATAAAAAGGTAATTTTGATAAAAAGGTACTGATAGCTGGGCAGTGGTGGTGCATACCTTTAATGCCAGCACTCAGGAGGCAGAGGCAGGGGGGTCTCAGAGTTTGAGACCAGCCTGGTCTGAAGATCCAGGACAGCCAGGGCTACACAGAGAACCCCCCCATATATATATGTGTGTGTGTGTGTGTGTGTGTGTGTGTGTGTGTGTGTGTGTGTGT